GGGCTTGGAGTTTAGAGTTTAGGGTTTAGGGTTTAGAGTTTAGGGTTTGGGGTTTATCAAAACCCTGAAACGAAGCAACCGGACACGTCGATTGAGTCTCGTGCGACAGCGACCTAGCGTCCCGAACCACAGGAAATTGAAAATCGGTCGGAGAACCGAAGAACCCTAAACCCGCCAAGGTCGAGATTGGGGTGGGATGCTAACAGGGGAGTGGGACATACAGTTCAGAGTGTGCACCTGGGAGTTTTTAGCACCAGCGCGCCCCTTCATGAACCCCCTCAACGGAACCCTAAACCCTAAACCCTAAACCTAAACCCTTAAGACAGTAGCAATGCGAGGCGGCGTCGGAGACGCCAAGTGCGAAGAAGGCGAGGACGAGCTGAGGTGCGCCTCTGCCGTCCTGTATACACCAGAGTGGGAGCTGATTGATTAGAAAGTCATGGCTTCAGGGGTTTTGGTTTACGGTTTAGGGTTTAGGGTTTACGGTTTAGGGTTTAGGGTTTAGGGTTTGATGGCACTGCCGTGTTTAGGGGCGTTTAGGGTTTAAGCTGCTTGAGAGCTCGGGGTTGAGGACCTCAGATGCCTAGGTCGATGTCTTCCAAAACACTCCACAGCACAAGCCCGAAGAGTTTAGTTCAGGTTTAGGGTTTAGGAAGTAGGGTTATAAGTAGGGTAACCATAATCATAACCCATATTAGGGGACTTATAACCCCACTTATAACTACCCATAGGGTTTAAGTCCAGGCTCCAAGTCCAAAGCTCCAAGCTGTATCCTAAACACTAAACCCCGCAGTCCAAGCCCTGAAACCAAACCCCAAAGCGAAGCGCCAAAGAGGGGCGACAGTGAGATCCCGCATTTCTCATCTGCCAAGCCGCCTTTTTTGGGTTTGGGGTTGCTGGGTCCAGGGTTGTCATGCTTTTGGGTTGATGTCGAGTCTAGGGTGTTTGGGGGCAGTTAGGGTTTAGGATCGCTGGGCTGAGGGCTCTGAGCAGAGACCAGATATTGGAATAACCTGAAAACACAATTTTCAACAGAGTGGAAGAGGTTTTGCTTCTCCTCGTCCTAACATGTCGGGTGTTAGCAGCTTGCCCCTCCGAGAGGCAAGTCCTACGATGTCGCGGCTTAAACCATGCAGTTTTCGAAAGTGTATCAACAAGTTCTAAGGCTCACAACCACGACGCACAAACTGCAAGCCGTGATGCCATGGGACATCCCCTTCTAAAACCCTTAAGCCCTAAGCCCCAAAGACATCCCCAGGTACGCCACAGACTTCAACTGATCCTTTGCCGGCTAATGGCCACCTCCGGCATCACGTCTCGAGGTGCTCAGAAGAGTCGAGCGTGATCCCGGTGTGCTCAGTCCCCTAAATTAGGGTCCCTGTTTGGGTCTACCGAAGAAGACGTCAGTCTGAACACTAGGGACCCAAGAGGGACCTTAGTTTAGAGAACTACCCGCGTGTGCTCTCCTAGTGAGAGCTTTGACACATTTTGCCCAGTTTGCGAACTTCTTGCCTGCGCTTTGAAGCAGGGAGCAAGGGACAAACTGTATGCCGAAGTTCCGGAAGCCTTGGCAGTTTGGCACAGCACAAGGCTGCGCATGTTATCTTTGTGTAGACACATGTGCACATATGAGACGGAATACATAGTACCTACAAAGGCATACATGCATACATGCCTACATACATAACTACATTCATTCATACCTATCTACGTACATACACATGCATGCATCCATCCATACATCCGTCCATACATCAAAGCAAATATACATGCATGCATACACACTCAGTACATGCACAGTACACATACATATGCATATACATGTACACGTATACACGCACACGTACGCAGACACATACATACACATAGTTTCAGACATATTCATGTGCATAGTAGTAATTCTAAATATACATATAACTGTCCTTTCATATATAATTACTTCTATACATGTACATATACCTGCATGGGTACATACGCATACATACGCATCCACATACCCATATCTATCCCTGTCCCGATCTGTATCTGTATCCGTGTCCGCATCTGTGTCGGTAGCCCCAAGTCCATATCCATATCCATATCCATATCCATATCCATGCATGCATCAGGCATGCATGTATGTATATGTCTACATATACTCATACACGGACACATAAACATCACATGCACATTCATTCATTCATTCATTCATTCATTCATTCATTCATTCATTCATTCATATATACACATATACATCCATATATGTATCATACAAGAAAGCCAGCAATGCGAAGGTCCTTGCAGCATCGTTTGCACATGTGCAGGTTAAATAGGGTGCCTTTTGTGCTACCGCGGCCGGAATTCGGCGTTTTCTGTGCGGCTGCGTGCCGGTGTGCCGGCATAGAGACTCAAAGACGGATGTCCAGCAGTGAGGCAGAATGTTTGCATCAGAGTGTGCTAGCATCCTGTTAGGCGACTTTCTCGTGATGTGATGAAGGTGTTGGCAGATCACCCTCGAGTCATCCGCACTACTGCCACTGCTACTACCACTTACTACTAGTACTCACGCGACGATGTCCTCCACCACTGTCAAACTCTACCGACTAGATGCAAATCTCTGCAAATCCCTGGCCTTCTGTATTCATTGTTCAGGACTCGTTCGACATCGACTATCAGGCTACGGTGAACTGCGTAGAGGCCCGTTGGGACAGAGGTCGAACCTGATTTCTGGCGGTGGTTGCAGTAGGGATCGATGGTGCTGTTTTTTCAGCTTCAACTGTCATGACTTTGCTTGTACCTTCGTCAAGAGGCTACTCCTGCTCCGGCACAATGCGATGCTGGTATTATGTATCGTATGTATGTTTGTATGTATGTATGTATGTATGTATGCATGCATGTACATAGGTATGTATGTATGTATGCATGTATGTATGTATGTATGCATGTACATAGGTATGTATGCATGTACGTATGTATGTATGTATGTATGTATGTATGTATGTATTTATGTATGCATGTATTTATGTATGCATGTATGCATGTATGTACGTGTGTATGTTTGCATGTTTTTATGTATGCATGTATGTATGTTTAGAAGCGCATGTTGCTCGTATAATATCCTACAGTTTGATATGTTCCACCTGTGTAAACTTCATCGTTTCAGGGCAAGGGAGCCATACTCAAGCAGAGTGTAGTCGGATCCTGCTTTTCGGGACCAGAGACGAGACCCGACATAGATGTCCCTGTCGCTCTTTGGATTTGGGATGGTTCAGGCGGACATCCTGGAAGAGAGGGTTCAGGGTTTATAGGGTGTAGGGTTTAGGGTATGCAAGAAAGCAACAGAGAGCTGACTATTCCGAAGACTGGCGGAACTGCTGAAAGCTTCGCAGGCATGAAATCTGAAGCCAAACATCTGCTCTGGAGCCTGGAACACCCGAAAGCTTGCCCTTGAGGACTTTAGGGTTAAGGGTTTAGGGCATTGGTTTTTTAGGATTTAGGGTTTTAGGGTTTAGGATTTTCGGAAGATGGCTCAAACCACAAACCCTAAACTCCAGAAAGCCCTAGATCCAAAACCAAATCCCCCAAACTTCAAAACCGCTAAACCCCTAAGACCCCAAGCCCTAAACCCTAAACCCTAAACCCTAAACCCTTGATTTGCAGCCATCGATCGTCTCCAGAAGAGGCCTCCAGAAAGGCGGGGCTCGACCAGTTTGTCCTCCTCTCAGCCGTCTGTCGGGAGACCCGGGCTCTTTACGGTTTAGGGTTTAGGGTTCAGGGTTTAGGGTTTAGGGTTTACAGGGCTTGCCGTCATATGGGTAGTTCTCTAAATTAGGGTCCTTTTTTGGGTCCTTATAAAAATACCTAATATTTAGGGTACCCAAAAAGGGACCATAATTTTGACAACTACCTATATAGGGGCCTTAATAGTTACCTATACTTTTTTGCCGGGGTTCCACGCACCATCGTCACACAAACAGTCCAAAGGGTTTTGACTACTTGGAGGTTCATGGCTAGTTATAAGTGGGGTTATAAGTAGGGTAACTGTAGTCATAGTTATAACCCGTATTAGGGGGCTACTTATAACTACCTACGAACCTCCAAGTACTCCGGTTTGTATTCCGGTACGGCTACTAGCTGGTCTTGTGACACTTTGCCCCTCGAGACTCTGCGAAGCACGGTTCGAAGCCCTGCGCAATCCCGCGCTAGCGTACTAGAAGCATACGAGCGCTGCTGTTCCCAAACATGGCTCTCCGTGCCCTCTTGATGCTCCTACTCCCAGCTTCAGTCGCTGTGCACGGTCCGGACGTCCCTGCATCTGAGTGGTGCGCCTGGATCCCATTCAGAGCGCTTGAGTATGTCGAGGACTGCCAGGCAAACAGCACAGCCGCCAGCCCGGTTCAGGTTACGGAGGGCTGTTCTGATTGGTGCCTCTGGGTGCCAGGGCCTACATGGAACAGCATCGAGGTCTGCCACCTGTGCGCGGCCAGCACAGATTCAGCTGCGAATGCCACGGTGGACAACGGCACTGAGCCCGTGAACACTTCCGAGACTGAAACGATCGGAGAGCCAAAGCCAGAGAGCGCACCGACCAGCCTGAGGGGCAAATCTCTGAAGTCTTTGGTCGGCTATCCGAGCTGGTGCAGCACGATTCCGTGGGGAAGCTTGCAGTACGTGCCCGATTGCCGCGGCTACCGTGGCTCGGATGTCGCTGTGTACTATGGCCCGTACTGTGCGAATTGGTGCCAGTGGGTTCCAAGCCCTTCGTGGCAGTACGTCTCTTCTTGTGAGCGCTGTGGTGGGCAGCCGGTCGGGGTGCCAGTCGGACCGTACGGAGGCGGCTGTGCGAGCTGGTGCCAGTGGGTCCCAATGCTCTCCTGGCAGTACACTTCTGGCTGCTCCGGCTGCTTCTGATTTTGATGGACAGTCTTTGCTAAGAAAAACGCACGCTCCTACTGTAAAGTTTTCGGGGCATGCGAAGACTTAGAGACAGACTTTTGTATCAGGCTCGGCTGAGGACACATTACAGAGTCCCAGCACAAAGGACCCAAACAGGCCACATGTACAGGCGCCGCCTCCGCAGCAAGCGCAGCCTCGTGCCAAATTACGCCGTTCTGGCACATGCATTCAGAGCTTTAACGGTGGTGCTGTTTGTGCCTAGGTGCTGGTGGAGTTAGAAGAAGAAACATGAGTCAATATGTTTATACAGCAGACGAGGATGACTGATGCTCTCACTAGGTGCTTGAATCAAACTTGTTTGGATCTGGGATGTTGCTTGGTGGTTTCTGGCTCTCGGGTGGCTTGTGTCCAGTGTTTGGAAAGTGTAGCTTTTATGTAGTTTGCGTGCGAAGTTGAAGTTGGTGGAAAAATCATCCAGTTCCTGCAGTTTGCACCCATTGAGTGTGCCGCAGAAGCACAAGACCGTTCGAAGATTGCTCGAAGCCCCACAGAAGCATACGAGCACTGCTGTTCTGTTCCCAAACATGGCTCTCCGTGCCCTCTTGATGCTCCTACTCCCAGCTTCAGTCGCTGCGCACGGGCCGGACGTCCCTGCATCTGAGTGGTGCGCCTGGATCCCATTCAGAGCGCTTGAGTATGTCGAGGACTGCCAGGCAAACAGCGCAGCCGCCGGCCCGGTTCAGGTTACGGAGGGCTGTTCTGATTGGTGCCTCTGGGTGCCAGGGCCCACATGGAACAGCATCGAGGTCTGCCACCTGTGCGCGGCCAGCACAGATTCAGCTGCGAATGCCACGGTGGACAACGGCACTGAGCCCGTGAACAGTTCCGAGACTGAAACGATCGGAGAGCCAGAGCCAGAGAGCGCACCGACCAGCTTGAGGGGCAAATCTCTGAAGTCTTTGGTCGGCTATCCGAGCTGGTGCAGCACGATTCCGTGGGGAAGCTTGCAGTACGTGCCCGATTGCCGCGGCTACCGTGGCTCGGATGTCGCTGTGTACTATGGCCCGTACTGTGCGAATTGGTGCCAGTGGGTTCCAAGCCCTTCGTGGCAGTACGTCTCTTCTTGTGAGCGCTGTGGTGGGCAGCCGGTCGGGGTGCCAGTCGGACCGTACGGAGGCGGCTGTGCGAGCTGGTGCCAGTGGGTCCCAATGCTCTCCTGGCAGTACACTTCTGGCTGCTCCGGCTGCTTCTGATTTTGATGGACAGTCTTTGCTACAAGACGCACGCTCCTACTGTAAAGTTTTCGGGGCATGCGAAGACTTAGAGACAGACTTTTGTATCAGGCTCGGCTGAGGACACATTACAGAGTCCCAGCACAAAGAACCTAAACAGGCCACATGTACAGGCGCCGCCTCCGCAGCAGGCGCAGCCTCGTATCAAAAAGTGTCACAGCCCGAAAATGGCCCAGCGACCCTAGCAGCAATCAGATGTGCTGTAGGCTGTTGGCCAGCCAGACAGTCATTGCCGGGCTTGTCGTTGTTGTTGTTGTTGTCGTTGTTGTTGTTGTTGTTGTTGTTGTTGTTGTTGTTGTTGTTGTTGTTGTTCTTGTTGTTGTTCTTGTTGTTGTTCTTGTTTTTGTTCTTGTTGTTGTTCTTGTTGTT